TCTGTAATCTGACACATTTAGATTTTGTTCATCATTTAATTAAAATTATTTAATCAGATTATTTTCAATGTGAAATAAGCTGAATGATGAAGCAAATAGTTTATAAATATTTCAGTATTTTTAGTTCAAAACAGAAAAACCTGAAATGATTATTTTATTAAAAGCAGTCGTTTCAGGTTTTACTTGTTAAAATCAGTTTAAAAATCTGATTTATTTTATTTGTTTGTTTATTTTCTGCTCATCAACTCATTAATGAATCATTTAATCACTTCCTGTGTTTTTAATAACAATAAAATCTCTTCAGATAATTTAAGCAGTTGTTTCTAAACTGCTGCTGGATTATTTAATCTCATCTGAATGAACTGATCAGTTCAGAAGCCTATTGCACAAATCTAGGATAAGGGATCAAGCCTGGATTTTTGTGTAAACCTGAATTAATTAAGCCTTGAATCTGTTGCATGGGAGAGGAAGCACTTACGTTTCCATGGTAACTTAGTTTCAGAGCACTTGTTACCATGGAAACATAAGTGCTTCCTATCCCATACAACCGATTCAAGGCTTAATTAATTCAGGTTTACACCAAAATCCAGGCTTAATCCCTTATCCTAGATTTGTGCAATAGGCCTCAGGATCTTTAAAGGAAAGTTGTTTATTTTGACTTGTTTGTTGTTTATTTGTCAACAATGATTCACAACAAAGAAATAAATATTATGTAGTTAAAGCTGAGGAGATGGAAGAGAACAAACAGGAACAAACTTTCTATAAACATCAATAAAAACAACAACAATGAAAATAAACAAACCTCCAGTTTGGTTGAAGCGTTGCTTTAGAGTTTCAATGCCGGCTTTGAAGACCTGCTGTTCGCCCTGTGAGATCCCAGTGTTTCTCTGCCAGTACTGTGGATCCTCCTCTGTAACTCTGCTCATCCAGTCCTGTTTGGGCACTTCTCTCCCAATGTTACTGTCATAGTAACTTATTGGAACATCGTCAACATAACCAAGAGTAACAAACTCTGGGAAGTTTGGGATCTGTGATGATCCAGTGTAGAAATACTTCAGGGAGTGGGTCACTGAAAGAAAGAAAGATTAAAAATTACAACTAAATAAATTAATTTAAACTTTTCCAAACAATTAAAATAAAAGTAAAGTTTTAATCTTTCTGCATGAATAAAATATTTTAACATTTTTAACATTTTTCAGCTGTATTTTCTGTTTTTATTTGTCAGATCAAACATTTAGTTTAAAGATAATTCAGACATTAATTATTTTATGGTTTGTTGCATCTTTGTCACCATAAGATTCATTTTATCATAAAAATTTAACTAACTTGTTTTTCTCCTTTTTCTGTTTTGATTTCTCTTAATAGTTGTGAATTTTTAATTTTTACCATTTTTTAATAAATCATGGATAACCACTGAACTCAGTTTAATCGTGAAGAAACTAAATATTTTAAAAATACAACCAGTCAAACTCTGTCCTCTGCTGTTAAATTATTAAAGCTGACCTAATACGGGGGTCCTAAAACAAGTTAGGATCCATCTGTGGGCTTTACAGAACATGTTCATTTGATTTAATTCACNGTCCAGCAGTCAGTTGTTGTAGCTATGTATGGCATTTTCCTCATTGCTTCCTTCACCTTCTCCTTCATCGCTAATGTGGCTTTATCAAGGTTGCGTCGCACAGTAGTCCGAGACATGATGGAGCAGTTTGGCTGAAGATCTTGGACAAGGCTCTGAAATGCTGGCTGCTCAACAACAGAGAATGGCTGTAGACCATGAACTATAAAGTTGAGTACTGCCTTATCAACACTTTTCTGAGAGACTTGCTTTGTTTCTTCCATCTTCATCTGTTTGAGATTTGTGGAAGACATCCCATCCTCAGATTTTCTCTTGTAGGCTGCTGTAGTCAGTTCACTATATTTCTGCAGCTGTCTTGTATGCTTCCTCTATAATAAGACAATATAGAACTTCAGTTAAAAACAGTTAACACAAATGGGCACCATAATGACAAAACACATGGATATTGGCAAACAAACGAACAAAATTCCAATAAAATGTATTACCACATCCCACCTTTAATAATGTAATTTCACCATACTCTAGAGTAGGGCTGGGTGATATCACACCAAATCAATATCACAACTAATTTAACATGTTACTTTGATTGCAATTAATTACAAATTAGTTTCTTTTATTTTTTCCTAGCAATCAAATGACTGAAAGTTACAGTTTTAAATGTTTCATAGAAGAGCATATATTGATTACAAAATAAATGAATAGACACATGCAGTTTAATTAAATATTGTTATTTAATTACTAAAAATATATTTAAGAGAAATAATATAAATGACATGAGCAAGACCACATTGATTAATGGTTCCGAATGTAATTTGATTAATTTTAAATTAATTGCCCAAACCTACTGTAGAGTCAAACTCAGTTAATATACACACCCCTGTGCTAAATCCCATTTTCTACTGAGACTCCAGGAGAGTTTTGAGATTTAAACATCAGCAAAAGGTGAGTAGCTATTGAGTAAGTTTCACACTACATATGGTTTAGGAGTTTAATTTCGACATGTACATATTTCTTCCAGGAATTTCCATTTCATTTCATTGTCCACAGTCACCAAATGTAAACATCATGTGTATATTTCTTTAATGTTAAAAAAACATCTAATGCTTGCTTGCAGATATTGTATCCCAAAGTTTAAGAGTCGTGGGGAGACTAGCTTCGGCATGTTACTAGTCTCTCCAAAGCTAATCCTAGCGAGTAGGCTCCTCTACTGTTTGTCGGTGCTAGTGCTCAGTTACAGGTGCTGGCCTATCATTTATCAAATCAATATCTGGCTTCGGAATGGATATAGCCTCCTGCTAAAAAGTAGCCAACGCTCGCTGTGCATGACTTAATTTTGGCGCTGCAACCACCTAGTTTCCCTCTCACTTGTAACCAAGCCCGTTAGCATGCTAACYGCTAAGCTAGCAGTTAGCACACAATGGTCGGCTATTTTTCAATCATCTCTCACAGCATTAAACCACAACCACCCTAACCAAAGTCAACTTCTTTCAAAGCATTTAAACTAGTGAGAAAAAAGTTTGCTGACTTACCTCAATGTGCTTTCTCAGGTTAGATGGTGAGTTATGGAATGCTGAAAGGTANAAAAGTTCTGCATCAAAAGTCCATGATGATGCCTACACAAAGGAATATCCTCAAAAACAAAAATGATAGGAATAAAAGTATACACTGTTTTTAAAACAAGTTCATTTCCATTCAGTTCAGTTCTTTAAGTTGCAAAAACAAAGTAAAAGTGTTCGTTGGGGCAGAACAACACTCTGGAGGAGGGCTTTCTTTGGAAGAGTACATCAGCCTTTTCACTTTGTTACCAGCTCTTCCAGTGGCCAATGAGCCCCCTCCGCCTCCTTTAAGCCTTAGTTTTTTACCAGACAGTTCGTTGGGAGGCGGGGAGACGTCCTCTGTGGCCATCTGAAGCTGGACAAATTGGTTTGCTGCAGCCAGGTCCATTTGAGCCATKACCTTGCGAGTCCACCAACGCTTCCCAGCCGGCAGGATGCAACATGCCAGAAAYGAGATTATAATTAGTACTAATATTGTGCTAATCCCTATTTTCACATCATAGCTATTCCTTGTCCTAAATTTAGATCAAACCCACTCCACGACCAGCCATCTTTACCAGCACTTTTTATTAAGCTCTACTCTTAATGCTCTAATTTTCTCCATGGCCTCGGAAACCACTCTACTGGCATTGTATTCTGAGGCACATACATACAACATTGGTCTTTAAACATCTGACAAACTTCGCCTTGACCGGCTAAAAACCAGTCTAATAATTGCCTGTTCTGCAAAGTCATTCTGCTTTTGTCAACATTCACATCCAGTTTAATCTACTCATTCACCCGATCATACAACATTGTTACAGACATCTTTATTCTGACCATAAGCACACAATTCAATAACTATCTGCAATAGAAAAAGTTTGTTCACTGATAAAATTAAAAATAAAATAAATTGTTAGAGTTGTCATCATAATGTTTTCAAATGCTTGGCTTAACAGTTCTGGGTTTTCATACCAAACAGGTGTTGTTACACAGATTGGTGTCATATTTGCTTGTAGAAACCATAAAAGTATCTGCTTTACGTTTCAATTGTTGTATTTCCTAAATTGAATCCTCTAGTTATCTGTGAGCCCTCTACTTGTGAAACATTCATATTCTGCATCGTACTCTATTTTGTATCTTGTTAACGGTCTGTTTTGTTCAGTTTTGATTGAGAACTCAGTACATTTTTGTTGAATCTCATAACCACGGTAGATATTCAAATAACTGAGAATTTTCTGTGGTCCATATAGAAGCCTACATTTTATTCCACACATTGGAAGTTTGAAAAACAACGACATGTTTGATTGAGTATTAATTCCATGTTTATTTTCTTTCCATTTTAGTCTTTGCACTTTGGCACAGTGCTTTGAATTATACTTTTCTGGGATCTACAGTATATTGGCAATGAACCAAGAACTTTAATGCATATAATGCATTCTTCTGTGGTCATTTCCTTTGATGTATAAAGTGTTCGAAAATACGTAAATACCAGGTATTTTGATTTGCTAATTCCCAAGGTTCGTTACTTTTAACCAGCCTTGTTCTCCCCTCTCTGGGAGAGATACAGTAATTCCTTGATTTATTTTAGATCTTTTCCCAAAAGGCTTAAACATAGGTTTGACATTTCCTTCATAATCAGTTCTTTAATTAAATCCAATCCTCCCTTAAGAGGATCAGAAATGTCATAAATGTTATCCCATTTAATAGTTGTCTCAGCATTTTTAGTTGTTTCATGTAAGGTTGCATCTTTACTAATTACCTTAATAGTTAATGTTTTCCTAATTGTTGGCTTTTCCACTGTTGGTTTAGTTGGTTCAGCGTCATCTAATTTAATGGTAGGGTGGTTAATGGTGTTGATTTGACAGTTACTGTAATTGTTACCAAAGCTTTTGGTGTTGTACTGCCTACTTTAGGTTTTACAGTGATAATTAATACTTCTGTTAGAATGGTTGGTTCAACAGTAGTTTCAACATCAACTAAGTTTACAACTGGAGTTGTTAATAGTATAGAATATGTTGTAGCTAATATAGCTAGAATTATTTTAGGAGTTTTAGTTTTAATCTCTATTTTAAGATCTGTGTCTCTTATTTTTCTTGATTTAAGTCATTTTGCTTCACATTTAGTGTATCTACTTTTATTTTTAAGCATGCGAGTGTTTTTATGAATGTTGGCAAAGAGGCCAGCCAGTGTTGGGGTGTTTATTTTCTGTAACATACTCAACTTAGGCATGGCGACTTGTTCCTGTTCCCGGCTGCATCCTTGATGGATGCTCTGGTGACAAACTGGTTAACATGTGCTTAGTCGTGCATGGTTGGTATCTTCACCTCCTCTTTCTCATCCTGTGCCCCTAGAGTCATTCAAAACTGAATAGTAATCACACTTGTCTGTCTTTTTCTTGGTATCATGTTCCACGCTTCTTTTTTGACACAACACTGCCCTTGTTTTGATCTGGAACTTCCATGCAATGACTAAGGTGGTAGGAAGTAGAACTCTCCTCCATCGTGACCACTGCTGATGCAGCTCGAACAATGGTGAAAGGACCCAGCCGTCCTGGCTCATGTCACTTCCCATGAAACATCTCAATACACAATTGATCCCTTCGACTCGCTTCTCTCACATCTGTGCTTCACAGTGGCGCTGAACCCAGATTTCCCTCGACAGGCCCTCATCTGAAACACATTCCTAGCACAGCATGGAAACCTAACATCCTAACTGACCCTTCATAATCACAAGCGCAGAGACAGGTTTCATTTGTCAGAACAGTGTTAATCAGTATCAATTCAACACAACATTGTATCAAACATCGAACTTCTTTTCCAGCTGCAAGAAAAAAAACAAGTTAAATATGTTCAATTGTTCACTCCAAGGCGTCATCTCTATAGTGGAGTCACTGAAAAAAAACAATCATTCAGAGTTAGAGATAATAATCGCAAAATATGTTCATCATCAAACTGT